TCCACATCTCTGGGCTAAAATCCTTCCCTTTTCCACATCTCTGGGCCAAAATCCTTCCCTTTTCCATATCTCTGTGCTGCAAAGCTTCCCTTCTCCACAGTGAGCTGATTACAGCCTGGAGAAAGGCTCAGGACCATCAGGTGTCTCGTTCTGACAGACCCAGAGGTGTGAGACAAGGGCTGAGCAGCCAGAAATGTTTCTTCCTCTCTGTGTCTCTCTCCTTGGCAGTGATCAACTGTGGAGACCCTGGTGTGCCAGCCAACGGGGTCAGGCTGGGCAGTGACTTCACCTACAACAGGTCAGTGGTGTTCCAGTGCACCCCTGGGTACATGATGGAGTCAGACAGAGCATCTTCTCTCACCTGCACCAAAGACCGAACCTGGAACGGCACCAAACCTGCCTGCAAGGGTAAGAGACACCTCAAAAGATTGGGGGAGATGAGTTTTCCAGGCCACAAAGTCTTGGTAACTCATGCTAAGGTAAGAAGTAGCCACTGCTGCATCGTGCCCTGAGCTCAGCTGGGTGTTCTTTGCCTCTGTTGTTCCATCCATCCCTCATTTCTGGCCCTGAGCCTATTTATCCCATGAACACTTTGCTATCTTTAGGCCTATCAGTCATCACCCTGTGCCTGGGAGGGAGGCAGTGCTGTTATCTGTCTGGTGGAGAAGGAGCAGAGAAGTACCAAAGAGTGAAGACACAAAAACCTCAGCTCAAAGTGGGATGAAATATTGTGTTTTGCAAGCAAACACTTCTTGGCATCATGTAGAAACAGCTGAGAAATGTCTCTTCAGAGTCTCTTCATTTATTCCTCTCTTCTCAGATTGTCCCTGGAGCTCAGAGATAGGAAAGGGAAATAATAAAGCAGTTGTTGAGCAGGTTGGATCTCATCTTGCAAGTGTTTTACTCCCCCTCCAAGTGCAGATAAGACTTGTAGCAGTGTCTGTGCACTCCTTTAGCAAGCTGGGAAAGTCACCTGTCATGATGCTGAGAGCAATGCAAACCACAGAGAACATTCCCAATGCTCTGCAGCTCCTGCAGAGGCTGCAAGGAGCAATCTCTGCTCTCCTCTTTCACTCTCTCCTCTGAGCTAATGCTGCAGGAACGACCCAGAACGTGGCCCAGACTCTCATCTGGAGGCCAAACTGATTTGCAGAGTTTTAGCATCTTTCTCAGTGCTCCCCTGAGCTGAAAAGCAAAGCACTGCAGAAATGTCCTATTTAAACCAGCCCAGAGTGGGATGAAAACCTGACAGGTTGTGGCTTCAACTGCCGATCTGAAACTCAGCCAAGTTGTACCAAAATATAGGAATCTTTCAGGGGATCTCAGATGACTTTTCATGCTAAGTCAGGGCAGATTCTTAACTCCAGGTGGGAATATTTTCTGTGATTCTATGAGTGTTTGGCAGGTTTATGGTTGGACTTGATGATCTGAGAGTTCTCCTCCAACTCTGATGATTCTAATGCTTTCAGGACCTGGTTGGGATTGTTGAGGTTTCCTGGGCAGGAATTGGGCTGATGATCCTTGTTGGGTCCCTTTCAACTCTGAATATTCTCTGTGATTCTGAGAGTGTTTGGTCAATGTTCTCAGGACCTGGTTGGGATTGTTAGGGTGTCCTGGGCAGGAGTTGAACTGATGATCTTTGTGAGTCCCTTTCAACTCTGAATATTCTCTGTGATTCTGAGAGTGTTTGGTCAATGCTCTTGGGGATGTGGTGGATTGCTGGGGTGTCCTGGACTGATGATCCTTCCAGCTCAGGAGATTATGCTTTAGGATTTAATTAACTAACTTCCCACCTTCAAAGTAAGATCCTTGGGAGAGTTTATCCCACTTTGGGCACCCTCTGCTAGGCCAGAACATGACACCCCCCACAAATTTGCTCATTAATGGAAATAACCATATTGAGACGTGATGAGAACTGAACCTGTTTTTGTCTCCTTTCCAGCCATCACCTGCAAAGCTCCCCAGCCCATTCCCAACGGGAAGGTGGTGGGCTCTGATTTCAGCTGGGGCTCCAGTGTGAGCTATGCCTGCCTGGAGGGTTACCAACTGTCCCTGCCTGCTGTGCTCACCTGCGAGGGCAACGGCACCTGGAGTGGAGACATCCCCCAGTGCTTCCGTGAGTAGCAGCACCCCCAGGAGCTTCAGACCCAAGTGCCTGATGTTCTCCCCAACATCTCTGCTCTCTGTGTGGCTGATTTTAGTGGCTCTGCTTAGCCTGGCAGCAGTGTCAGGGTATGGACCTTGCTGTGCTTCCTGCCCCAAGCACAAAGTCTTGCCAGTGGGAATTTTGTGTGCCATGGTGATGATCCAAGTGCCTCGAGCTCCAAGGTGCTCTCCACACCTCCCACTGCAGCCAAATTGCTGGTAGGATTGCTCTGCCACCTGTAAGGAAAGGAGGCAGTGATGGCACTGAGGACACAGTTGGTCACTCCACCTCCTGGTTGGTCACTCCACCTCTGGAGAAATGGTGCCCCAGGGGCCACAGTTGGTCACTCCACCTCTGGAGCAGTGGTGCCCCTGAGGACACAGCTGGTCACTCCACCTCTGGAACAGAGATGTGAGGTCACATTTGCAATGAGGCTGAAGATTTGGCATGTTCCTGCCCATGAGACATACTCAACACTGGGTGTTTGTTGGCCAGTGTCTCCCTAGGGATTACATCTCATGCAATCAGAGCTCCTGAAGCTGCCAAAGACTTGGAGATGGTGGAATCACCATCCCTGGAAGGGTTTCAGAGGCATCTGGGTCTGAGACTGGAGGAGATGGTTTAGGGGCTGCAGCAGTGACAGGTTAATGGTTGGATTGATGATCTTAGAGGTCTCCTCCAACCTTGATGATGCTATGAAAAAGCCTTTGGCAAAGGGCACAGCAGAGTTGTGTGAAGGCAGAATGAGACTGGATGGAAACTTCTGTGCTTGATACAACATCTGATGCCAAAACCTCCTGAGCTAAACATCTCCTGATGCTGGAGGCAGCTCTGAGCTCCTTTCCCAGGGCCTGGCAGCTGCACAATAGCCATTTTCCTATTAAATCACACCGAGCCCTCCCTGTGTTCCTTGCCCCTTTCCCTGGATCTTGGCTCATTAGTGACTTTCTGGGTGCCATGGAACCATCTAGCAAAGTGACACGGTGCAATTAGGGACCCATTTGAAAGCTAAGCATGCTGTTAGGGGAAAAGAGAGGAGGGGAAAGGGATCTGTGGGGAAGAAGGTGGAAGTTAATTAGCAGCAGTTGACAGAAAAAGAGAGAATTACAAGGGAAGTAGCCAACAACACCTTCTGCCACCACTAATTCTCGAGTCAATCATGGGATGTGATGGCAGGGAGCTGTGAGCTTTGGGCTCTTCATAAACTTGGTGTTAGCTTATAAGTGTTTCTTCCTCCTGAGGAGGTTCATGGTCATGCCCTTGTCTGTTTGCCTCTTCCAGCTGTGTTCTGTGGTGACCCAGGGACACCTGCCCAGGGCAGGAGGGAGGACAGAGGCTTCACCTACCGCTCCTCAGTCTCCTTCTCCTGCCTGGCCCCACTGGTGCTGGTGGGCTCAGCACGGAGGTTCTGCCAGTCTGATGGGACCTGGAGTGGGACCCAGCCCAGCTGCATAGGTAAGGGGAGACTCCTCTGCTTCCAAAAACAAGCTGAGAGCTTTGGGTTTGCTCTTCTGCTTGGGGCAAAGTTGGGGTTGTTTTCTGAGTTGGCAGAAAAGAGCTTTAAAAATGGGAGTGTGGAGGGATGAGGTTTTTTGGTTTGTGTGTTCTAATTGGTGGTAAACAGCTCATCTCCTTCTCCTGGGTTTACTGCTTGGATTCCCGTCCCTGGGAGTGTTCCAGGCCAGGTTGGATGGGCTTGGAGCAACTTGGGCTGGTGGAGATGTCCCTGCCCGTGGCAGGAGGTGGGACTGGCTGAGCTGTAAGATCCTTCCAACCCAACCCATTTTGCAGTGCAAATCCAGAGATCAAACTCCCACAGGTCGCTCTGCTGAGCTGCAGTGTTGGGATTCAGGCTGAAATTTCCACCCAGGTGCCCATTTTCTGGGCCTCCCACAACTCTTTGACACCCCTGGGAGGTCTATAATCATAAGCAGTCACAGAATTCCTCTCCTGTTTGGAGCTCTGGCTGAACTCCTGAGCTCCTGTGGTGATAACTACATGGGTTGTGTCTGGTTCTTGGACACCACCATTATCCCCTGACGTGGCAGGACCAGATCTCAAGTTGTTCTCCTTGAATTTCAGCTGTTGTAGTTACATCTTCAATGCATCACCAGCGACAGGAATAAAACCACTCATGGCCTGAACCTCCTCTTGATTTCCCCAGGAGTTTTCTCACACACACACACACAGGGAGATGAGAGCACCTAATGCTGCAAAGATTGGATAAAAATGCTTCAGTGCTTTCTTGCCTGAGATCTTAGCACACAGACATGGGACTCACCCTCAGAGCTGGCACAGGTTGACCCCAACCAACACTGGTCCTGCTGCTGAGGGATGTGCCAGGACTTTGTCTCCCCAAAATAAACCATGAGGGAGGAGATTGGATATTAGGGAAGATTTCTTCACTGAAAGGGTTGTCCAGCCCTGGTGGAGTCACCATCCCTGGAGGGATTTAAAGCCATGTAGATGTGGCACTTGACGTGGTTTAGTGGTGGCCTTGGCAGCACAGAGGGAACAGTTGGACCCAATGATGTCAGAGATCTGTTCCAACCTTAGTGATTTATGATTGTGTGGAAGGAGAAGCCTTGTGTGCCTCCAAACCATTGGTTTCTGACACAAGCAGCACAAAAGAGTTGTGTTTATTCAGCTCTCCTCATTTTTGGGTCCATTAAATTGCCAGACAGAGCCAAGAGCCTGAGGCTGTGCCCTCCACCCTCAGCCATCCATCACCCACTGCCTCACCCAGCCAAGGGGCTCTTCATTCATTTTCCACCCTGTGATTTATCTGGGGGCTTCCATGGAAACCACAGCAGTGACAAATGACACCAGCTCAGCAGAACTGAAGGATGGAAAATGAATTGCTTCGTGCTCCGTGGCCTCGGCTCAGCCACGTTCATGTCCTTGGTTAGTGACTCACCACAGCTCTGGGGACCTGGGGACAACACTGTGGCCGTGGGAAGTGACTGATTAGGCAGAGCATCAGGAGGAAAGGCCAAAAAATCAACAGCCACGCAGGTGGAGAGTTGTGCTCCTTCCTCCCGTGGCTGCAGGCTCAGACAGACACCTCTGGCCACTGCCTTGGCTGGGGGAACCTCTTCCAAGCTGATTTCTTGTTTTCCACTCTCCTGTTAATGGGAATATTTTGAGGAATTGTCAGAGGGATTTGCTGTGAGCCTTATAGTCCAATTTATAGCAATGTTGAGCAAGGTGAAAAAGGAAGAGTGAGAATCCAGAGCACTGATTGCACTGAGCTCCATGCTGGGGGAACCTCTTCCAAGCTGATTTCTTGTTTTCCACTCTCCTGTTAATGGGAATATTTTGAGGAATTGTCAGAGGGATTTGCTGTGAGCCTTATGGTCCTTCTCCTAGAATGCTGAGCAAGGTGAAAAAGGAAGAGTTGAGAATCCAGAGCCCTGATTGCACTGAGCTCCATGCTGGGGGAACCTTTTCCTAGCTGATATCTTGTTTTCCACACTCCTGTTAATGGGAGTATTTTGAGGAGGTGTCAGAGGGATTTGCTCTGAGCCTTATGGTCCATTAAAATTCCACATCCATCACTGTGGAATAACGAGCTCCAAGGTGAGTGCTGAGCCCCAGGGGGAAGGTGCTGGCCCAGGGCATGGGAAGGGAAGGGATCACTGAGGCTCTCAGGGCATGGGGTGGTTTGTGGGAGCAGAGGGCACAGCCTGGGAGAGTCAGGAGCTTGGCACATCATACACAGAGCAGGGGAAGGGAAGAGAGTTGTCCTGACATGAGCTCTGTGTTCTCAGGTTCTCTCCTGAGTGCCAAAGTGCCTCTGGTTAGTAGCACTGCAGCACTCAGAGGTTTGAGGAACACCAAGATCCATGTATTTTGCCTTGTCTTATGTATTCCTTCCGAGCAGAAAAAATCTTGCTTGCAAAGGCACAGCAGGATGTGTCTGTGTGGAGAGCTCTGACCTGGCTCCTCTTTTCCCTGCAGATCCAAGCCTGACCACGTGTGCTGACCCTGGAGTTCCTCTCTTTGGCATGCAGAACAGCTCCCAGGGATTCCAGGTACTGCCACACCACTGGGATCCCCTTGGCTGAGCACCAGGACCCACTCCATGTCCCATTCCTGACGTGGATTCAGGGTGTCCTCCCATGGATTCAGGTGTTATCCTATGGATTCAGGTGTTATCCCATGAATTCAGTTGTTCTCCCATAGATTCAGGTGT